TGTGTGTGTGTGTGTGTGTGTGTGTGTGTGTGTGTGTGTGTGTGTGTATGTTGAATTCTAGGTTGAATGTCCTAATAAGCACACTGAAGGAGGTAAGACAAGACACTAGCAACATTGGCCATGAAAACATAAAGCAAGGTCAGAAAAATATTAGGTAAAAAAATTTAATAATTGAGAAAAAAAACTTTCAAAATGTAAGGATTTGGGCTAGGTAGATGACTCATCCAATAAAGTGCACATTATGCAAGTGTGAAGACCTAAGTTCGGATCCCCAGTCCCCACATAGAAGCCAGGCAGGGCGATGTTTATCTGCTGGGGAGGGGAGACAGACAGATTCCTGGAGCTTGCCAACCAACCAGTGTCTCTGAATCAGTGAGAGACTTGGTCCCAAGAAGAAAGAACATAGGGGAGAGAAAGAGAGGAAAGAGGAGGAGAGGAAACAAAGGAAAAGGGCAAGGGAGAGGAGGAAAAGGGGGAGAGGCACAAAAGAAGAGAGAAAAAGGGGAAATATACACAAATAATGGACTGGGTAAAATGTCAAATGTCTGACTTCAGATGAGAAGGCACCTCCGGGTGCCCAATATGTGAGCTGGCAACATCACTGGAAAACACTTGGTGTTACATTGCCCAGGCACAGGCTGTCAGCATCCATGACAGGTGTCAACACTCAACAGAAACACAGCATGTCATGAAAACCCTTGTGACAATGGTCATACCTGCAGCAAACTAGAATCTTCTAGAATCTTTACCACAGGAGAACAACATAGTCAGTAGAGGGGTCTTCACACCAGTGAGGACAGTGCACGGAAAACCAGAATTATGAGCTGTCCCAGAGAGAGAGAGACAGAGGGGAAAGGGATAATGAAGCTGAGAGGCCGTATGGGGTGCCCAGAGACACAGGGAGACAGGGAGGCAGTCTCTGCTGAGGGTGAACATCACGGCATCTGGGGAAGGGGCTCTGTGCTGGTTCTTCCGGGATCCCACTGAATACAGACTAACCTCTCTGCTCCTTCTGCCTGGCCTTTTGCCTCCATCAATGTCCACCACCCAAGGTTTCCCTCTGCCACAGTCTCCAAGATTAAATTCTGTGAGTTTCAACCTTCACCTGAGTCTTGTCTTACTCTCCCTGCATCTTCAGCAACTTTCACCTTCAGCTCTAAGCCTGGGATCTGATCTAGCAAGTTGACATATGAATACGCTGTCTCCAGTGTCAGGGTCTGTAGTTCTGAATCTCTATGAATAAACTCTTTGGGTGAATGGCAGTAGGACCCTTGACTGTCTTTACCTAGTTCTGTGAATATGTCTGACTTTAGATATATTTATCTTCCCAAGGTGACTAACCCGATGAATGTCCGTTAATAGGATATGTTTATAGCGTGTCATGTGCCCTTGATGAAAATCATCAGTTTATAGAGGAGGTCCTGTATTTCTGACATTGTCATGCACATACAAACACAGAACTGACTGTCCTGTACCCTTAAAACAACAGGCATCTCACAGATTAAGTAGAGGAAGAGTGTGGTCAAATGAATTCTTCAAAGAATCAGAAATGGCATGCTGAATGCCAGAGGGTCAGACTGGGCATTTACTTGATGTACCACAGACTTGGGCGCTGAGTATAGGTAAGTATGCTATTCACCCACAAAGTTCCTTGGGCCCACAAAGGCCTTTGGTGAAGATTTGGAATTGCAGACCCAGCCCCGGAGAGCCAACACATAAGGACACATTAGATCAGATTCCAAGCAACTCCCAGACGGAGAGTCGGGACCTCGGTACGTGTACCTCCAGGCCTGTGTAAACTTTTTGAGACTCCCTTTTTGCACATCCAGTCCCTATGTGCAAATATTTGCATGTGTGACATGAGCTATCCAAATTTATACTGTAGACTGAATGAGATCTGATTTTATATCCAAAGATATAAAATCTTGCATATTATGTATGAGTAACATGTATGAGCATAAACACACATGTTATGGCTGCTGAAGCTATGCCTGTGAGGTCCGGCTGACAGGCTCATCCATGTTTGTACTCTGCCTGGGCACCTGGATCCAGAGCTGAATATGGCCACATCCATCTTGCCCTAGTTAGGATTACTATTGCTGTGGTGAAATACCACGACCAAAAGCAAATTGGAGGGGGGTGGGGCAATTTGGCTTAACTTCCACACTACTGTTCATCATTGGAGGAAGTCGGGGACTCAAATAGGACAGGAACCTAGAGGCAGGAGTTGACGCAGAGGCCACTGAGAAATTTTGTTCACTGGCTTGCTCCTACTAGGATGGCCCACTTAAAGCACTCACTCCCTATTCTGCCCACAAGAAGCAGGGTCAGGCCTGTCACAGCAACACACCAGCCAGTCCCTGTTACAGCTTCTGACTTAGTCACTCCTGTTTTACTCAGGAGAAACACCATGAGCAAGGCAACTCATAAAAGAAAGCATTTTGGTTGTGGCTTACTCACAGTGTCCACGATCGTCGTGGTGGGGAGCATGGTGGCATGCAGGCAGGTGCTGGAGCAGTAGCTGAGAGCTTAACAT